CTAAGATCTGGGCATCTGCAGGCCTAGGGGGTCGGCGGCGTGGCGTAAGCTAGTGTAACATATGTCCAATAAATCTCGCCGACACCGCGGGCAGTGGAAGGCAAGAAACTGAAGCACGCGGGCATCATTACATACCCTCTGCACAAATCTTTCCGTCTTGCTCTGTCTGACCTGGCCAGTACCATCTTCTGAAGTAGCCTCGCGGGACGAGAACTCGGAGAGGGTCGATCCCAGCCTCGGTTAAGTTTCGGCCGAACCTCTCTATGAATGGCCCCCGAGCTGTGACCCACGCGTGGCTGGCGAACTCCCACTCGTGGAAGTCAGGCCCTGCTGGCGAGCACTGTGCGGCCTGCTCATCGTCACCGAGCGCGAGAACCAGCTAAGCCCAAAAGGGAGAGGCGGTTAGGCTCTCCTCGCTCCCGCCATCTGTGTTCGCCAGCGGTGCTAGGTGCCCATCGGCGCCCCCAGGCCACTTCCTCTGGCGCTCGCCGAGGAGAAGTGCAAATCTCCCAGGCCAGAGAACGACCTCTGGCCCCTCCTCCTGCTCGGGCGCGGCCATATCTGCGAACGCACGGATCAATGTAATGCATCCGTGGACCTCTTGATCTTTGCCACATGAGGAACGAAATCCAAGTGGGCAGGGCACGCCGAAGTTGAATTGAACCCCAACTCCGCCGGAACAGCCCCCCTCGGCGCATCAATCTTTGACTGGGGAGGGAAGACTGTTGGTTGGCGGGGGGGCAGGCGGTAAGCAGCAAACATGGGGCGGGGGGGGCTCGGCGTCGCCCCCAGACATCCCCCAATTCAATCGGACCCAGGACTGAGGGACATCCCGCAAGAACACGAGGCCATCCGCCGGCCAAAACAACCCAAACCATACGATCACTCGAGAATCTCATCCCCCAGGATGCCCCCAAAACATCCCGCAAACTGTTTTTTTTTTGCGTCGGCGGCTAGGCAGAGTAACTGCGCTGGCGGAGAGCTAACTAAACGGTGGTGCCGCTGCAGCGAAGTGCGCCACCATGCAGGAGAAGGGGACAGGGCAGAGGAAGCGGCCGAAGGAGGGGGCGGGAAGGGAGCGAGGCCTCTCAGGGGGACGGGTCACGCCCCGAGCGCGTGGAACATCCCACAAACACGAAGAACAATAGGTTACCCTGCACGAGCCGACCTCGATCTTGCACCTCGGTCCGGCTGTCTGATTTTTTGTTCAATCCGCGACCCCCCAGCAGCTCCCGACCCCTGCCCCTGGGGGTAGCGCCTCGCCCCGCGGATCCCATGCTGGTGGCCCCGAGGCCCGAAAGACGGGCCCCGGAGGTCGAGATCGAGGGACGCGGCCCAGATCGAACAAATCTGATCGTCGCTGGCGGCCCGCTCAAGCCGCCGCGTTAGGCCGCTATGCAATCTCGCGTAGGGCCCGTTCTTGATCGTGGAAAAAACGCAGCGTGCCGCGCTCGCGTCCCGCGTAAGCTGTGGCGTAAGGCCGCTGTGCCATCTCGCGTGAGGCCCGCTTTTGAGAGCCGCTCGTGTGGTCGCCCAGCTTCCCCGAGCTGTTTCGGGGCCCCTGCCATCGAGGCGGAGCCCAGAGATCCGGGGTTCCCAGTCCCAGCTCTCATTGGCCATGCCGCGGAGAACCCACGAGCTGGCTTGGCAGGGCCGTCCTGCCGCACCGCCCGAGCGGCAACGGCCAGGCCGCCCGGCGCAGCGAGAGAGGGTCGGGGGGACGATCAGCACCGCCATCGGCTCGCGAGGCTCTGGCCGGAGACTCCGGACCCTCTGGCGCCAACCTGATCGGACAAGAACGCAGAGCGCCGCGTTTGTCCGTTAGGCTCGAACGTAAACCAACAAAAAGAAGTGGGCGACGACCAGGCGGCCGATGACGAGGATGACGGCGTGGATGACGGGGAGAGTAGCGAAGCTCTGGCCGGAGAGTCTGGACCTTCTGGCGCCAATCCGCCGGTGCCCGTGGTGCCGTACAGTCACCAGGCATTCGAATGCAACTGTCGACCTCTTGACTTGTGCCCTGGCAAATGTTCAGCTTGTTTGGACGAGGCGTGCCGAAAAAAAACTGAAGCCCAACTCCACAAGAACGGCCCCTCGGTGTACCAGCTTTTGACGACAAGAAAGGGGGAAGCCTGTGCTGGGTGCGGACGGCAAACAATAAAAAACAAACTACAAAACGGACAACGGAAAACGGAAACCGGAAAACGGAAAACGGAACCCGGAAACCGGAAAACGAAAAACGGAAACTGGAAAACGGAAAACGGAAAACGGAACTTCGCTTTTTTGCCCAGGCCGGGAACTGGAAAACGGAAAACGGAAAACGGAAAACGGAAACTGGAAATCGGAAACCGGAAACCAAAAAACAGAAACCGGAAAACGGAATTTGGTTTTCTGCCAAAACCGGAAAACGGAAACCAAAAACCGGAAAACGGAAACCGGAAAACGGAAAACCGGAGACCGGAAAACGGAAACCGGAAAACGGGCCTTCGTTTTCTGCCCAAACCGGAAAACGGAAAACGGAAACCGGAAACCGGAAAACGGAAAACAGAAACCGGAAACCGGAAAACGGAAAACGGAAACCGGAAAAAGGAAAACGGAAAACGCAACTTCGCTTTCTGCCCAGATCGGAAACCGGAAAACGGAAACCATGGAACGGAAACCGGAAAACGGAAACCGGAAAACGGAAAACGGATTTTCGTTTTCTGCTCCAGGGTTCTGTTTTCCGTTTCCGTTCCGGTCCGGCGCGCCTGCTGACCAGAATCATCTGCGGTGGTGTTCTGGCAAAAGTTGTCGCAATGATCGATGACATGGTGGCTATGCTGAAGGTGCAGGTACACAGGCCTCCACGTGTGGCCACTCAATTGCTGGGACTACGATCGTCGTCGTCGTCGTCGTCGCAGGTGCAGGTACACAAGTGTCGAGCGGCCCCGCCGCACCTGGGACAACGTATTCTCCACCTTATCTTCACCCCCTCCTCTCGACCCCACCCCATCCCATGATCTTAGTGGTGTTGTTGGGGCTCTGTCTTCTTCGGGCCTTCGTGGTGAGGGATCAAGGAGGGGAGGAGGAGGGAGGAGGTGCGGCTAAGCCATGCCCCCTCGGGGGCGCCCCCTCTTGAGCCTTCGGTGGTGATAGGTTCGCTGGCTTTGGTGTTGCGTCTCTGGCTCGGGGCTTTGGCGGACCTATTTCCTGTCTCATTTCTTCGTTCGGGGGCGGGAGTGTACAACCCACCTCGCCCAACAACCTATCAGCGGCGGTTGGGTCTCCGGACCTTTCTCCTGAGGGTGGACGGGGAGGTAGGACGGCGACGCCCTTGGTCGAGGCGCACCGTCAACTGGGGGCGCACATGTCGTTCGGCGGTGGTCTCGGCCATGGTAGGGCGGGGTGTGCGGTCCTGGGAGGCCTGTGTCGCTCGGCGGTGGCTTCGGCCATGGTCGGGCGGGGTGGGCACCCTAACATGACCCATCGACACCGGAAGGTGGTCATCGGAGCCTACAGAGTAATGCTTGTGAGGAGGTCAGGCAAAAAAAGCACGCATGACGACGAGCTCCGGCTCTTCCCGGGTCGGCTTGCACATTGTGTGGCTGCGCTGCCAGTGTTCGTGTTTCTACACGGCACTCTGCCAAACGGCGGGTTCCCCCGACCGTTCGGGGGCGGCCTCGTGGTGGGATCGGCCCTCCGCATCTGCCAGGCCACCGGGTTCCCCCGAATTGCCGCCGCCCCTGGGGCCCCTCGCAGCCGGGGCCGTGCTTGCCCCGTTTGGGCTCGTGCTTTTGGGGCGTTTCGTCGTGCGTGGAAGACTTGGGGTAGGTGTAGCGTGGGCGTCTGTTTTCACCAGGCGACACCGGAAATTGTAGTTGTGCTTCTGGGTCTTCGGCTTGGGTGGTTCCAAAAGGGTCGGTTTGTCTAAATGCACCAAGTAGGCGCTCTGCGCCACCGCTGGTGCGGCCACCTTCTTGGAGCCACTTTGTTTTTTTTTGAGAACTTCCATGGTGGTGTCGCAGAATGATGCCAGTCGTGTTTATGGGCCCCGGGTCACTCCTCCTGTCAGGCCCCCTGCCCCGTTTTTGTTGCCCCCCCCCCCCTTCCTCTCCCTTCTCCCTGTCTCCTCTTCCTCCCCCCCCTCCCCTCCTCTCCCCCCTCTTCCTCTCCCCTCCTTCCCCCCCCTTCCCCCTTGCCCTTCCTTCTCCCCGCCTTCCCTTCTGGGGGGCGCCAAAATTCGGGCGGGGGGCCTGACGGGTGTGCTTTCCGCCGGTCCCGGGTGCCGCCAGCGGCTGTCAACCCGGATGACGTGGACGTGGACGTGGAGCACCCCAAGAGGGCCCCAAGTCGGCCCAGAGAGGCCCTCAAGACGGCTTCCGATGGCGTCAGACGGGCCAGGAACGCCCTAGGACGGGCAAAAAGGCATTCGAGAAGGCCCAAAGGCCCCCAGGAGGCCCAAGGAGGCCCCCAAGATGCCTCCAAGAGGCTCCCAGGAAGCTCCCATGAGGCCCCAAGAGTGCCCCCAGAGGCCCCCAAGATGCCCCCTCCTCGTCCTCCTCATCCTCCTCATCCTCCTCCTCCTGATCTTCCCCGCCAATCCTCCCCCAAGTGTTCCCCGATGGGTTTACACAACGGCTGGGGGAACACATTGTCAGATAGCTTGGCAGAGCCCTTGCCAGAACTCTCGGCCACATGGGCGATTTCAAAAGGCAGGGGGCGGCGGTGATTCGCCGTAGCCGTCTTCGATAAGGACTGACGCCGTTTGTTGGCCACATTTGGGCCCTGATTAACCATAGCTGCTCGAGGACACAACCGAGGAAGCACCTACGAAACCCAAAACCCCTTCGGAAAACACAGTAGGTCCAAACAGCCTTTGACTGCGCTCGACGTTCCACGGGCCAGGGCGGAGACAACCTCGCGCACCCGAAAGGAAGGCCGTACTTCTCACAGGCGAAGGCAAATTCGGAGCTCTGATCGCGCGCGCGCGCTCGGGCGAATTTTCATAAGCGAGGGTGCACGGACCGTCGTACTGTCTCACCGATGGGTCGACGGCGGCACGTGCACGGCCCCCTCGTCCTCCCGCCCGCCTACAGCATGGGACCCAGGACTTCTCAGCGACCCAGACGAGAGAAAGATGCGATGCTGTGGCACGGCGCACTCTGGTGCAAGCGGCGAAACACGTCGAAACGGGGGCACTGGGGTCGGCCCGCTTGGACCGCGAAGCAGGCGGCCAGGCCTCTGCTGCGCAGCCAGCTCAGCAGACCCGCGCGCACACGGCTCCCCCTGGCAACCCTGACAAGAGAATACATGCTTCCTGCATCGAGGACTCTGGCCCACGACAGCGAAATCGTCGCCGCCGCCGTTGTCGTCGTCGCCTCCCTTCAGGGTCGGCGACACCCGCCGTAAGGCCTTCCCAATATACATGTTTCCTGCATCGACTCTGAACGCAAAAGGAGCCCCGCCGGCTCTGGTACTCCAATCGTTCCCAGCCACTCTCAGCCTGATTTTCTCGCTTGGAGCCCAAGCGGAAACAAGCTGACCCTGGTCAAAGCTAACTCGGGAACGGGCAGACTCTGATCAACTCAAATGTCGGGTCCCCGGGCAAGCAGGCCACATATAGAGGGGCCCAGGCAGACACAGATAAATCGACGCAAAGTCCGATGTTCCCAACATATGAAACTATTTGTATACACGCATAGTTATATTTATTCATATATACACATATATATATATATATATATATATTATATATATATATGTATGCTAGAATCACGCGCGCGCCACGCGCGCGCTTAGGTTCTAGTCGATGCGGCAAATGGTGCTTGCAAGCATGTGTCCGATCCCGCGGTGCCTTCCAGGTGGCCCTCACGTGCGCTTACCTGTTATACTGGTGGCTGCTTCGACGCTGAAGAGTCTGTGGCGTACCGCGCATCGCTCAATCTCACCAGTCCTCTGGGCGCAGGCGGTCTACAGCGTTTCCTTTTCCAGGTCCTTCCTTCCCCTATTCGGGGAGGCTTGCCTCCCCTCCCCCTCCCTGGGTCTGGACGGGCAGGGCGCGATGGGTTAGAGCGTGCAAGATGGCCGAAGAAGGACCCAAGAGGGCCTCAGGTAGTCTTGTACGCTCATGGGGCAGTCTGTGGAGCGATCGTGGCCTACTTGCCGCCGTCAAGAGACCATCTGAAGCCATCCTGGCGGTCTCGAGGGTCTCCGTGAGGCTGTACAGGGCAGTTGTGAGACCGTCCAGGAGCCTCCAGGGCTGTTCAGGAGCGCCTGGGGGCCCCATGCGAACCCCTAGCCCCAGTCCGCCCCCCAGCCTACTCCTCTCTTTTTCTCGCTCTCTCTCTCTCTCTCGCTCGTCCTCCCTCTCTCTCTCACAATGTATATCTACACACATGCATGCATGCATACATACGCGCATGCAATCGTACACACAGGCATACACACATGCGTACACGAACACCTGAATTCACGCATATAAACATACGTACACACATACATACATGCATACAAACATAACCACGCACACCCATACACGCATACACACATACATCCCACCAGCCCTTTGGGCGTGAGTGGTTTAGCGGGCTCTCTCTGTTCTCAACCCCCCAACCCCCCTTCTTCCCCTTCGGGGAGGGGTTTACCCCTCCCCCTACCCCCTCCCCCTGGGCCTGGAGAGGGAGCCCCGCGGGTGGTCAGGTTTTTTTTTTTCGACGCCTGGGAGGGCCAAACAACGACGAGCCTCACGAGGATTCTGGCTCCGACGGGGGGACCCTCTTGTAGCCCCCTCCTCTTCAATGAAGCCAGAACCCTTGCTTTTACGACGGTTTTGGCCCCATGTTGGCCTCCCGAGGGGGCCGCGCTCATTTTCCTTCATAGCAAACTCATTGATTTTACGAAGGTTTTGGGCTCATTTTGTCCTTCTCAGGGGGCAGCGCTTCTTTGCGCTCCTGAGGAGGTCGCAAGAGGCCCCCAGATGGCCCCAAGAGGCCCCCAGGAGCCTCCCAAGAGGCCTCCAAGAGGCCCCCAAGAGGCCCCCAAGAGGCCCCCAGGAGGCCCCCAGGAGGCCCCCAAGAGCCCCCCAAGATGCCCCCAGAGGCCCCAGGAGGCTCCCAAGAGGCCCCCAAGAGGCCCCCAAGAGGCACCAAGAGGCTCCAAAAGGCCGCCAAAAGGCCCCACGAGGAGTTCGAACGACTCACACCAGGACGAGTGGCCCGAACGACTCATACCACGAAGAACCCGAACGACTCACGCCAGAAGGAGGACCCCGAACGACTCCTACCAGGACGAGGCGCGCGACCCATTCACACCACGAGGAGCCCGAGCGACTCACACCACGACGCGCGCCTCGAACGACTCACACCACGAGGAGCCCGAACGAGTCACACCAGGAGGAGGGGCAGCGCCCAGACAAGCCCCCCAAGAGGGCCCCCAGAGGTCCACCATATGGCCCCAAGAAGTCCCCAGATGGGCCACAAGAGATCCCCAGGAGGCACCACGACGCCTCCAGGAGGTCCCACAAATACACCAAGAGGTCCCCAAGATGCGCCAAGAGGCGCCGAAGACGCCTCAAGAGGCCCCCGAGCAGCTTCCAAAAAGCATCTACTACT